ATTTAAGTACTGAGCATGTTGAAGCATTAGCCAAAATTCATGGTTATTATGTCTCAAATTGCAAGGAAGAATTGAAATTAGCAGGAGAAAATATTTCTGAAAATGAAATATTGGATACTTTTTTGGCAGCTCAAGATGATAATGAGGATGATGATGAGGATGATGATGATATAGAAGAGTCTTCATTAGAAGAGGAAAATAATGATATAAATGCTAATGAGGGACTTCCAGAGCCTTACATTTTAATTATTCAAAATACAATGGATTTATCTCATTCTAATTTTCAAGATCTAGATGATAATGATGAAAATAGATCTGAGTATTTATCTGATGAAGAAAACGTATTAGCTAATGATGAGTATTATGAAGAGGAGGAAGAATATAATTCAAATGAATTGGCATCATCATTTATGACAGCATTACATAATTCATAATTCCAATTTGTAAAAAAAAATTTTTTTATAATTATTATTACATTATTTTGCTGTACATATTAGAAAGATTTTTTTGATTTTCAGTTGTTTTGGAAATATTTTTTATAATAAAATTATTTTATATAGATTAATTAATATATGTAAAAGTTTTGTTATTTATGAATTTTTTAATCATAGGTTTGACAGTTTAGGAGTTTCGCCCACAGTTTAGGAGTTTCGCCCACGGTTTAGGATTTTGCCCATGGTTTAGGCAATTTTTGAGTTTCGCCACTAGTTTAGGAGCCTAAACTCCCAATGTCTGTGGGCGAAACTATTTCGGATTTTCTAAAATAATTTCGGCCACCATCATTAGTATTATTTATTTTGAAAACATAATGAGCAATTTTTTCACCTTGTTCCTTTTTTCAAAATACTTCCGATAGTATTATAATTCTTGGTAGATCCGATATAAATGAGTTAATCACATTATATCCGATAATACAGTTAAAATTTTTTGATCCCTGAAATCATTTGTAATACCAATGTTCACCTTGTCCAGTTTTGTTGCAGTGTGCACCATGTACAGTGTATATAGTAATAGTAAAACTAAAAAATAAAATCATACTATCTTCTGAACTTAAGACAAATGAAGAAATTAAAGGTATTGGTGCCGTTTGACAGGATAACCAACCATCTACTTTGTAATCAGGAAAATGTCATATATTTGTCCTAATTTAGTAATATGTTGCATTTAGTTAATTAAAATAAATATTATCAGTGTTAGTAAAATAATAATAAAAACAATGCTAACTTAATTGAATTAAGATTGATTATCGAGTTGACAATATTGAATGGGTGGTATTTGGGGATAGATCATTGAGATGGTGTTGTGATGGTGGTTTCTGAGATTCTCGACGTCGGCGATAAGTTTGATTTTGAGGTGGGTTGTTGACATTTTGGAATATATTTTTTTTGAAATATTTGTATTTTTTTTGTATTTCAGAAATTTATCATCATCGCCATCACCACAACCATAATTATTATCAAACTGTTCCAAAGCGCACATCACACACGTCTTGCTCTTCATATTTTCATCATCTTGAACATCCAAAATCAGCTGATACAAAAATGGATTTCTGCATAAAAGAGCATTTTGTTGCAGTGTGCACCATGTACAGTGTATATAGTAATAGTAAAACTAAAAAATAAAATCATACTATCTTCTGAACTTAAGACAAATGAAGAAATTAAAGGTATTGGTGCCGTTTGACAGGATAACCAACCATCTACTTTGTAATCAGGAAAATGTCATATATTTGTCCTAATTTAGTAATATGTTGCATTTAGTTAATTAAAATAAATATTATCAGTGTTAGTAAAATAATAATAAAAACAATGCTAACTTAATTGAATTAAGATTGATTATCGAGTTGACAATATTGAATGGGTGGTATTTGGGGATAGATCATTGAGATGGTGTTGTGATGGTGGTTTCTGAGATTCTCGACGTCGGCGATAAGTTTGATTTTGAGGTGGGTTGTTGACATTTTGGAATATATTTTTTTTGAAATATTTGTATTTTTTTTGTATTTCAGAAATTTATCATCATCGCCATCACCACAACCATAATTATTATCAAACTGTTCCAAAGCGCACATCACACACGTCTTGCTCTTCATATTTTCATCATCTTGAACATCCAAAATCAGCTGATACAAAAATGGATTTCTGCATAAAAGAGCATGCTCGAAGAGGTAGTGCAACATAGAAGATATTGTACAGTTTCCAACATACTAGGTTTGCATGACCCGTAGAAATCATCAATGGTATGATCATTAGCGTCAAAGTACGCGATGCTGTTGAGTGTATCAACTCATCATGGCAGGGTTGACACCATTGGATCTATTTGAATCACTATTTTATTGCCCAGATAGACTAGACCAAAATACATCAGCTTCAATGGATCTGGTCTATTGTCAACCCTGCATCATAGAGACAATTTGTCATTTATTATTATTATACGTTCCACTTCGTTAATGTACTAGTATCTTTTTTGAACCCCTGAAGTTTTTTTGTGACATCATCATGTTCACACTTTTTCTGGTTTTGACAATAATAAATTTTTTAAATTTTGTTTTCCCCCTTATTTTCTATAATAATAATAATAATAAACAATATTTAAAAATATTACGAAATGTTTTGAATTCATTAGCTGAGGTTTCTGGGGGAGGAGGCCTATAAAAATTATGTATTTAATATACATATATGGAAAACATTACAGGGTACAAACTTTTTCTTACAATAACAATTATTATTTTTGTATAACCGAATTTTTTATTTATTCAATTGTAAACAAACTCCCAAAAAACAATGACTTCTCATAAAGACTTGATCAATATTCAGCGACAAAGGAAGGACACAACGGAAAATGATGAGAACAGTGATAGTGACGTAGATTCAGATGATTCCATAGAACTGGAATTTAGCTTGGAAGCTTTAAAAGAATCTGCGGAAAGAATATTTGGTAAGTCTTGTATCTTGGCAAAGAAACTTGGCGAAGGAGGCTACCATAAAGTTTTTGTGCTGAAAATGAATGATGGCAAGGAATATGTCGGGCGTGTAGCTTTTCCGGAATGCCGCATTTGAAGCTGGAATGTGAAGTAGCAGTGATGAAATATGTTCGAGAGAACATTTAAAAAATCAAAATGCCTAAAGTGTATCATTATGAGAGTAAAAAAGGAAAACCCTGTTGGGCAAGAATACATAATAATGGAATATATACCTGGTGATACATTGTCTGATGTGTGGGACGAATTTAACAAGAAGATAAATGTAAAGTTATCACACAAATAGTTGAAATAATGTGCGAACTTAAAAAACATAAATTTCCTAAAATTGGTGGCATATTTATCGACCCAGATACTCAAGAGTTTACAGTAGGTGAGGCAATTGAAACAACTTTTTTTAGTGAGTGATGGAAAGAATTAAAACTTTAATCGTGGTCCATTTGATAACACCCATGATTATGTCATAGCAGCAATTAAAAAAGAAATAAAATACATAAAAACCGCTCATACACAAGAAAAACAAGAAAAATGGACTCCAGTATACGAAATATTGGCTGAACTAGTTCCTAATTTTTTTTCTAAAGATGACAAAGAACGATTTGTACCAACTCATGGTGATCTTCATCCAACAAATATTGTGATGGAAGGCACCAAGATTACAGGTATTATTGACTGGGAATGTTCAGGCACCTAACCATTGAATTCTTCTGTGAGTATCCAGTATGTATTACAGGCAATCCATTTGCAAGTACTACAGAAGAAGAAATTAAAGAACATGAGGAACTTCAGAAGTTTTTCCGAGAACAAATGAAAAATTTTGATCCAGAATTTGTAGGCATAATGGATAACATGGATGAATTTAAAAGCAAAATATATAATTTGGTTTTTATAAGGTATTGGGAGGCTGGCAGAATTTTAAAATTTCTTAAAAATCTTAATCTAATTCAGGATTATATGTAATATATAAAGTTTAGCGAATGTAACTTTTCAGGTAAATAGATAAAATGTTTAAAGATACACCGCATATGCATGATTTTATGGGAGTTGCCTAAAATTTTTTATGCCATTATTAATTACTGACATCTGAAAGAATACCATTTAATGATTTTAAATTTCTTTATTTGAATTAAATGTGATATAATATAATTAATATAAAAATTAATATAATAAAATAAATACAAAATATATAAATATAACATATAAATACCATTAAGAAGTAAATACTTCCTTCTATCTACAAATTTTCTTTTTTCTCTCGCAACCTTGACATTCCTCAGTTTTTAAATGGGTTATCTCATGCATTATACAAAAAATTTGATGCTTTTTACAATATGGTGAACAAGAGGGAGTTTCTTTACATTTTGGACAATAGTGTTTTTTTTTTGTGGGGTCTTCATTTGCTTCTTTTATGTCATCAATTTCTTTTTTTTTCTTGCAATTCGGACATTCTAATTCAGTTAAATGGATTAACTCATGTGTTGGACACATAGTTTGATGTTTTTTACAATATGGTGTGCGAGGAGTCGCTTTACACATTGGACAATGATGCTTTGTCATTGTGGTGATTTATTTTGGAAAAAATATCTTATGGTGTTAAAGTGAGTTATGATTAGTTTTATGATAGAGGTGTATTTTTTTTTTTTTAGAAACAATAGCAAGGTTTTCACAGTTCTTTGAAAATGCAGGAATACAAATAAAAAACATTGATCACTTGATCAAAACCTAGACAGACCCCTGGTTAGGCAGAGTTTAAATTAATTGTTATTATTATGTAAGGGGGTACCATTATACGTAACTTTTAAAATTATATGAGAAAAAAAACTTTTTCATAGTTCAAAATATTTATTCAATTAAATTAAAAAAAAAAAACTTTAAAAAAGATAAATTAAAATTTTTTAAAAATTTTCTTTTGATAATGAATTATATATTTTTTTTTTAATGAAAAAACGATCTTTTTCTTTTATTTCTTAAATAATTATAATTACAACAATCAAATATTAAAAA